GTTATTGGAGAATTAAGTTGATTTATAATATTATTGATGTAATTATTTATTGGACGAACTTATTAATGATTATTGAGAATTTTTTTTATTTATGTATATAATTTTATATCATTTTTAATATTTTTAAATATTACAGAATTAATTTTTTTATTATCTTAAACAACATCGACGTGACATAAATAAAATTACGTTGATAAATTTATATTTCAAAATAATCTGATTGAATAATCATACGTGATATACATCCAATATCCAATATGAATAAATTTAGCCGCTGCTTTGCATCGGGTATTAATTGATTAATAAGCTTATAATAGATCACGGGCGATGGTCGCAATTATAATTTATTTATACAGACTAAATGTTTTAATTATATAGATTCTAGATGGCATAATAATGAAGATTAAGGATTATCATTTTTGTTTACCCGCATAGCTTTTATATTTATCAGTTGTTTTTTATAAGTTCAAAAATCAAAAACCAATTAACAATATTATATTAAAAAATAAGAAAATTTGATATAAGAATATTGTTTATTATTATAATAAAAAATATAATAAAAATAATAAACTAAAATAAAAGATTAAAAATGACGATTTCAGGAGGGAAGAAAAAGGGGAAGGGAAAGGGGAAACGAAAGGTAAGGGAAGGGGAAGGGGAAAACGAAAGGGAAGGGAAGGGGAAGGGGAAGGGGAGAACGAAAGGTAAAGGGGAAAACGAAAGGGAAGGGGAAGGGAAAGGGGAGAACGAAAGGTAAAGGGGAAACGAAAGTGAAGGGGAAGGGGAAGGGGAAAGGAAGGGAAGGGAAAACAAAAGGAAGGGAGGGTCTATTTTTCACAAAATTCATGGAATAAGATTATAGTTTTACGCATTAGTGATATATATCCATCTAATTATAAATTCATGATTAATTAGTATTTACCTTAATTCCTATTTCTTCTTCTTCTATTTCTTCTTCTTCTATTTCTTCTTCTCCTCCTCCGATCGCTGCTACTGCTGCTGCTGCTGCTGCTGTTGCTGCTGCTGCTACGGCTTCAGGAATGACGCCGACATCGTTCCCTATACCTATAGGTCCATCGATCTACTCTCTGCTGCAGGTACGCCCTGCGTAACCTGTCTAAAATAAAAAGAAAAAAATGTAAATATAAATTTAATGAATCAGTAATATATACAAAGTA